CTATCCTATCCTATCCTATCCTATCCTATCCTATCCTATCCTATCCTATCCTATCCTATATGTGTCTGTTCATAAGGTGTGCAGGTATGTATACTCTCAAAGGCCAGTAGAGAGCATCAGGTATCTTCTTGTATGTTCTCAGGCTATTCCTTTGAGGCAGGGTCTCTCCTTGAATCCAGGGCTTCTGTCCTCTTGGCATGACTGGAAGTCAGCAAGTCCCAGCAACCATTCTGTCTCTGCCACACTCAGAGCTGAGGTTAACTGGCATATGCGGAAGGCTGTTTTGTTATATAGATTCTGGGATCTGAACTCCAGTTTGTATGATTGTGCAGTAAGCTCTGCTTAACCACTAAGCCATTTCTCCAGCCCCTACTCCTCATTCTTAAGAGGTAAGGGGAATGGAGATTAATCTTCCTAGACTATTTCTGAGTGGATGGACACTTTGCTGTCCTTCTTCTTAGACTAATATTCCCTTGCTGCTAAAGTGAGATAAATCTTAATATTACAATTGATTCCATAGTCTCAGTTCCTTTTGTAATTGTTTTAGCACAGTAGTTTAAAGCTCATCAAATTCCTGTTTTAAACAACTCAGAAAATATATACTTAATGTCCTGGGGAATTCAATTCTAAACATAGTTAGGCTGTCGACTTTTGTCAACCTGTACAGATCTTGTCTGCTGGGCCTGGGATCCGAGGACCTGAAAGAATGGGTCAGACTACAGGCTAATGCTTTAGACACCCTTACTTCAGTTTCAATGCATTTTTTTATACACGGATGTAACAAAGAAAGAGTTGATCCAAGAAAGTGTGTTTGAGTTCAAACACATTATCAGAAAAACATGCTAACAAAGGCCAGTAAACACATACTAAATATTAACAGAGCAGCCCTTTCCCAGAACTTTCTCAGGACAGATCAATTGCCTGGCACTTACTATAAATTCTTTCTGGGGAAGCACAGAAGCAAGGCAGAAGGCCAGATCCAGATTCAGGGTACATGGACCAGATAGGGTTCTATAGTTATGTTTTGACACCCAACCAGAAAAACATGTCTTCTAAACTGAAAGTAGATATTAGCTGCAGGAAGCATACAACCTTGTCTAAGAACAATGTGGGGAAACAAAATGCACCTGAGCTGTAAGATCTTCTGACTTTTTTCTTGAAGCGTCTGTCATCCGTCTCCAAGGCATTGTTCACCATGCATTATTCTTTTGACTGTGTTCCAACATAGGCAAACAGGCCAACTGAGAGAAGAAAGCAAAGGGGGAATTTATTTTTCCGTCTTCTGATATAATCTGATACAAATGTGATTGTAGGCTCTAACTACAAAGAACAGAATCAGCCAGAAGGTTAAAACCATGTAAACAGACCAACAGGCTGCTTATGATCTTACTCTTGTTTTCATGTGGGTTTTGGTCCCTGTTTATCAGGCTAGGTATTCTTAGATTCACTTGCATCTATTTAAAAAACTTAACAACATATTTTGGGATGCAAAGTAATGGGTTTCCTTCTGGCATTTTCATACTAATAGTTGGTTCTCACTTGCTTTCTTGAACATCACCCCCACCCTGGGGCCCACTTCTTCCTCCAGATGGTTACCCTCCTTTTTCCCAGAGTCCCTTTTCTGCTTTCAAATCATGTGTTTATTAGCAATCCTAAATTATGTTGTTCTTTCTATAGTCTAGGAAGTTAAGAGCAAAGCTAAACTTATGTCTCTCTCTCACTCCCTTGAGATCTCTTCTTCCCCTCTCATGATCCCCTTTCGACTTTAATGAAATGAGGGTGAGAGAAGAGAGAGAGAATGTCTTTTTGAGCTTTGTGTCCTCTTTATATGGTACGACAAATTCAGGAAACCATGCTTGGAGTGACTTCTTCCTACTAAATTCCCTGCAGGGGACTACAGGGTGACTTTTGGCAAGAATGTTTGCTGTCCCATTTTTTTTTTACCCTCTTCAACCACCCTTCTGTAAACCAGTCAAGAAAGGTTGGTATCAGAATCCACAGCAGCATTTGGCAGTCTTCTGTAGATACCAGGAACGCACTGAAACACAAAGCAGCTTCTCAGGGACCATCTAATTAACATCCATTGTGGTCCTCCTTTAATTTGCTCATTCTTATAGTTATTCTTACCCATATTAGTAATTTTACATGAGAACAAGAATAAAATCTTGTTCTATCATATGCAAGTCATGAAGGTCTTTTCTTTCTCTAATTGAGTATGGTGTTGCAATCCTTTAATCCCAGCTGTTCAGGCAGCTGCACAAGGGGAATCACTACTTCCCGGAGAGCCTGGGCAACTTCCTGAGATCCTGTCTCTGCATTAAAAGTTAAAAAAAAAAAGGTTGCAGAGTACTTGCAAAGCATGCACAAAGCCCCAAGTTCAACATCTAGTTCCACAAAAAATAGTTTTAATCCCTCTATTTTATTTTTCTTAGCAAAAATGCTTTCTCTACCATTAACTGGCTTATTATTATCAAAATTGTGTTCAGTGTCTCAGGCTGGCCTTGAACTCACAAACCTCCTATTTCTGCCCCCTGAATGCTAGGATTATGGGTGTGTGCTGCCAGGCCTTTTAGAAAATAAATGTGTGTTGGTTAATTTTTTTTCCCTTTGGCCACTTGAAATAAGTCAAGATTATTTGGGAAGAGGGAATATAAATTGAGAAAATACCTCCATCGGATTGGTCTGTGTGCAGGGCTGTGGGGAATTTTCTTAATTGTGCCCATCCCACTGTGAGTGATGCCGCTCCTGGGCAGATGGTCCTGGGTTCTGTAAGAAAACAAGCCAAGCCAGCAAGCCATGAGGATCAAGCCAGTAAGCAGCCCCCTCCATGACTTCTGCTTTAGTGTTTATGCCCAGGTTCCTACTTTGAGTTCAGTTGGCTTCCCTGAATGATGGACTACAGTTGTAAGCTGAAAAAACTCCTTTACCTCCAATTTGCTCTTGGTCACTGTGTTTATCACAGCAACAGAAAGCAAACTAGTGACAGAGTAAGAGTTTGTCCTAAAGTAGAGTGATTAAAAACGATAGGACAGAGTATAACCTGACTTTCTTCAGGACTGTTTGTCCAACTTCCTCTGCATCTAGCTGCCTAATTTTCTGCCTCAGATTCAGAGTTCTTATCTCTGCTCAGAAGTCCCACCTATTCGCTCCTGCCTAGCTATTGACTGTTCAGCTTTTTATCAAACCAATCAGAAGGTGTTTTAGTCAGGTGAGGAAAAATAGACATCTTCACACAGTGTACAAAACAATTATCCTAACATCTACCCCTTTTCGTCCAATAAAAGGCTCTTCAACATCAATACACTATATACAAAAATTATCAGATAAGAATTACATCCACACTGTCCACTCTATTTGTATTTGGCAATGGAGAAAGTACTCTATTATCTATCCTATTTTGGTGACTCCAAAGTTCTGTACCTAAACCACATTTTATGTTAACTTTGTATTACCAACTTAAAAATATCTTTTTAGACCTAAAACATTCTTAATAAACAACTTAAGCTTTTTATGTCTCTCAACCTTTATAAACTTTACATATCTCTAAGTTTCTTTTCAGAGTTTGATAACAAGGAAAATTATAAAACTATAAATATCTAGTCTTCAACCCTATCAGAGACCTGAGAAGGATAAAATTTTACCTGAGTAAATAGGAAGTGCAGAACAAGCATCTTCCAAAACTATAGAAATGATAGAGATTGCTGACTGCCTGGACAGTCACCCAAGTTTTCTCTGTAATGTTAAGGTATCCACCATCAGTCAACAGGCCTATGTTATCTGACAGACTTTTCTGTAAAGCTGGAATTTTGAAGGACTGACCTACCTTGTCTTGGCCAAGTTCAGCATTCCACTTCCTTTGTGTCCTGCTTGTCCACTTTGGACAAGTAATAGAGGTAAGGGCAGTTGCCACAACTCCTCTAGGCCCTTGTAGTTTTGTGACTCCATTCTTGACTCTTCCCCATGGATGAGACCCCCCAGAGCTCAATTTTTATCCTTGCCTTCTGGACTCTATAAAAGCCCTGGTACTAGGCTCTGAGTCTCTCCTCTGGCTTAGCCAGGCTAAGCCTCTGATTCTTGGTGAATGTGGTGATGGCCCACTTAGTAGTTTGGTACTTTCTAAGTCTTGGTGATGCCCATGACTACAGGCCATTTTCCTTCTCTCATCCATATGAATGGTATCTTCCATACCCTCTCACTTCCTCTTGGTTTGCCTCTTAGAAAGCCCCCAGCCTCTACACCTAGCACCCTACCTGAAGGGCATAAACTTACAGTGAAATTTGGCCTCAATAACCCTTAGATAATCAGTCCAAATGACTGTGTCAGGGTACCCTAGATCCCAGTATTGTTCTCCACTCCAAGCCCTATTTGTTTTTGTCTTGTCTTCTCACACATATACTGTATAAATGTCCTGTCTTTTAAGTTACTGTTGATGGATCTGTAAGTTTGTTGCAAAGTGGGAACCAGACCCAGTTTGAGGGGCAGAAAACAAAGGAGTAGGCCCCCTGTAGCATACACACACCTGGCACACACTCAAGCTATAGGCTGCCCACCCAGTCAGGGCTGAGGCAGTCCTTAATGAGGACTCTAAATAGAATTACAATACACCAGGGGCATCCTAGCTAGGAATCAATTTCCAACTTGCCTCCTGGTCAGTATCTGCAAGACTGCCCTTAAGGCAGTAAATCATGAAAAAGTCCAAGTGGTCATCTGAGAAAGGCATGAAAACCATCCCAGTTCCTAGATCCCCTCACAAAGTCCCACTTATAACACACCTATCTGGACCTTGTGAGGAGGCTTTCAAATCCCAAGACCTTGAGGTCAAGTTTCAGTTTTAGCCTGTAGCTAGCTAATCAATCCATCCAGCCCTTGGAACTCTGTCATCAATACTGTTTGCTCACTCAAAATCCAGCATTGACCATCAGTTTGGGAGAGATTTCTGAAATCCAGTGGCAGGCCCCAGGAAGGATTTTCCCTTGGGATGAGTTTTCCAGCATTGCAAAGGGCTCCTGGACAGATTCTGTTTCCATCTGGAGCTGGGTAGCAGAGGCACGTAGTTCATAAGCAGAACATCCTATCTGGGGATGCCCAGACATTTTGACAGCCTCCCAGTGGTGGTCACTGTCACTTCGGATTAGAAAACCTGAATGATTTGTACAAGATGATTTTTGTGAGAGATACAAGTGGAGATCCTGACAAACAAGCAAACTCTTCTCTCCTAGTGACTATGTCTGAAGCTGTTTGAGACACTACTTACTCCTATTGGCATTCGACCAGGGCCCTATTAATAGCACTGAACTGGTTCCTTGAAAGTTTCCAGGTTTTGTGGCTCACAGTTTCCGAGTCAATGGGCAGCACCCTGTTGAGAGGAGGTCTTGTGGTTGAGAAGTTGGGCCAATCAGCTTGGTGGCTGATTGCTTGCTGAAGAACGAAGGGTAGGAAAATCTGATGCTTTAGTTACTGCTTGTGGTTTGTAAGGTTACCATCTATCATGGCAGGGAAGTTGTAGCTGCAGCAGTACGTCAGGGCTGGTCAAATTGTGTCCACAGTCAGGAGGCAGAGACATATGAACGAGAGTGTGCAGCTCAGCTCTGTATGTGTGTTACAGTTGGGCAGCTTGGTCTGCTTGTGAGGATCCTAGCAGTGCGATCAGGACCTGTCCTTGGTGCTTGAGCTAGCTGTTGAGATCCCATTCTCCATGCTGGGTTGCCTCTCCCATCTTTGATGCAGGGGATGGAGCTTGGTTCTGCCTCAACTTGATGTGCCATCCTTTGTTGATTACCATGGGAGGCCTGCCCATTTCTGAAGGGAGATGGAGGAAGAGTGGATGGGGGAGGGGTAAAAGGGAGGTAGCGGAAGGAATGGGAGGAGAGGAGGGCGGGGAAACTGTGGTCAGTATGTAAAATAAAAAAGTTTTAATAAGAGAAATGGTAAAAAAAAATTTTTTTAAATGTGGAATGCAGAAAAAAAAGATTTGACTGCATAGAATGGGCTGGCATGGGAGGGACTGACTGGGTATTTCTACTGGATGATCTTTTGTCTGCTGGCAGACCTGGTATGGCTATTTTTTCTTTGGGTTGCCCTCTCACAAATAACGACACAGAGACTTATCATTAGTTCTGAGAGTTCAGCCTTAGTTTAGACTTGTTCCTAACTAGTTCTTATAACTTAAATTAACCCATTTTTTTTTACATCTACATTCTGTTTCGTGGCTCATTAGCTTGTCTCCATACTACCCACCCTGCTTGCTCTGAGTCTGACTGGCGACTCCCTGTGCCCGTAGATTCCTTCTCCTCTTCCCCTCTCTTCTCAAAAATTCCGTCTACCCTCTCCTGCCTAGCTATTGGCCATTCAGCTTTTTATTACACTAATGATAGCAACACATCTTCACACAGTGTACAAATACTCAGCAAAAGCCTGGGAATAAGGGTATGGGATAGAGAGCTTATGTGATAAGCAACAGAGTTTTCTTTCTTCTCCATCCTCCTCTTTCTCTCTTTCTCTTCTTCCCCTCTCCTCCCTTCCTTCTGCTCATCATCTCAACCTTCCTTCCATATCTGACACAGTGGACATAGGACTGCCCTGTTGTCTGTAGGGATGGTTCTGTAACTATATTTTTAAACTTTATGTCAGAATTTTTAAGTGGCTGATGGTGCCCCTGTCCCATCTGGCAGTGCTAGAGTGAAGTGTGAATGTACATGTACTGCCTGGTAGTAAAAATAGCCCACTGGTTTCTGCACCTGTGCATCTTCACCCCATAGGAATGGGCGTGAACGGAGAAAGCGGAACTAAGTAAACTAGCAGAAGTGATCAAACCCACTGTCCTCCCAAGGAGGGCAAAGTCTCAGCATAAACGAAGAAGGTGGAGAACCAGAGCTAAGGTAAAGGAAGGAATAGCTGGGTTATGTATGTAGGAGAGGAAATCCAACATTCTATAAATAAGTCGAGATAGACTCGGAGGAAGAGAGTAGTGTTATATCTTAGTACCGTTCTGTCAGGATCCCAGAAGGGTGGAATTGTGGATCATGACCATGTTTGCTCTAGGAGCCCAACAAACTGAATGCGAACATGCAATCCTTAGTATTCTCATCTTGGAGACATATTCTTACAGTATAATGTTAGAGTGAGCTTATTATTAATGACTGAATGGGATGCTAGTAGTGGGGCAATGTCTTTTGAACTGCATATCATTTTTCCATAAGTTATCTATGTACAGAAATAATGAAGGAGTAACTCCTTTCATTCATTATATATATAAAATTGTGTGTATGATGGGGAAGGAGTATGTGTCACAGTGCACTTGTGAAGGTCAGAGGACAACTTAGTGAACTAGATTCTCTCCTGCTGCTAGGTGGGTTCTTTGGATGGAACTCAGGTTTTCAGGTTTGTGTAGTAAGTGTTTTACCCGCTGAGTCATTTCATTGCCTGCGGCCTCCTTCCCTGTCTGTCTGTCTGCCACCTCCCTCCCTCCCTCCTTTCTTCCTTCTGTCCTTCCTTCCCTCCTTCTCCCCTACTTCCACTTCTCTCTTTCTTTCCTCTTTCCCACTCTTTAGGACAACACTGACTTCTTTTTTTATTTTATTACGTTAAAAAAAAATACCAATCCAAATTCTCCCTCCCTCCCCTCTTCCCAGTGCACTCTCCTACCCCACCCCCTCCAATCCTAAGAGAGGGCAATGCACCCCACCCTGTGGAAAGTCCAAGGCCCTCCCTGCTGCATCTAGGTTGGGCAAGGTATACTTCCAAAGAGAACAGGATCCCAAGAAGCCAGTAATGCAGTAGAGACAAATCCCAGTGTCACTATCAGTGACCCCTCAGTCTGCCCCAACTGTCAATCACATTCAGAGGGACTAGTTTGTTCCCATGCTCGTTCACTCCCGGTCCAGCTGGAGTTGGTGAGCTACCGTTAGCTCAGGCAAACTGTCTTAGTGGATGAACCCCTCATGGTCTTAAATTCCTTGCTTATATTCTCACTCCTTCCACTCTTCAGTTGGACCTTAGGAGCTCAGTCCAGTGCTCCGATGTGGGTCTCTGCCTCTGTTTCCATCTGTTGTTGAACAAAGGTTCTATGGTGATATTTAAGATAATCATCAATCAGTCTGACTACAGGGCAAGGCCAGTTCAGACACCCTCTCCTCTATTACTTAGGGTCTTAACTGGGGTCATCCTTGTGAATTCCTGGGAATTTTTTCTACAGTTTTCTTGCTAACCCCATAATGGCTCCCTCAATCAGGATATCTCTTTCCTTCCTCTCATATCTGTCCTTCCTCCATCTCAACTATCACATTCCCTCAAGTTCTCCCCAATCCTCCCCTTCTACCCTTCCTTCTAACCCCGCCCCCATTCTCCCAAATTTTGTCTGACAATCTTGTTTGTTTCCGATTTCCGGGTGGGTCTATATGTGACAATACTGACTTCTAATCTTCAGGAGCTCATCAAAAGAGTCATTTCCTGGACTTCTTCAGTTTTGGGTTACCCACATCCCTTGGTATGGGCTGCTTTTTAATCTGATTAGTAGAATTTCTTTCTGACTCTCCTCTGAAGTCTAATTCTTTCACTTTTTAGTTATTGTATTTTTAACCATTTCATACACAATAATGGTACATGTTTATGGGGTACAGGGGGACATTTCTATACATGTATGTAACATGATCATTGGGGTAGTCATTTTATCCATCAGTCTTTACTATATCTTTGTGGTGCTGCACTCAAATCTTCTAACGACTTCAAAGTGTATGTGTTATTGTGAACAAGGCACTCTGCCAGCCATTATTCTGCTCTGTATGTCAACGATGCCAGCACTTCTGGTTTCTCCGCACAGGCGAGCTAATGTCTGTACTTCTGTGCAAGCTTGTTTCACTTAACATAATGACTTCCAAGCTCATTGGGCTAATGACACAACATTTTTTATGGAGCTAATATTCCACTATGTGTGTGTGTATGTGCCATATATTTTTTTCTTTTTTTGCATCCCGACATCAGTTTGTCCTCCCTCCTCTCTGCCCTGTCCCCACCTCCCTTTTGCTCCCCACCTTCACTCTTACTCTGTTTCTCTCCAGAAAAGGGCAGGCCTCCTATGGATATCAACCAAACATGGCATATCAAGATGCAGTAAGACCAGGTAGACCAGGCCCTCCCCTCATATTAAGGCTGGACAAGACAACTCAGTAGGAGGGAAGTGGTGCCAAAAGCAGGCAAAAGAGTTAGAGACAGCCCCCTGCTCCTACTGTTAGGAGTTCCACAAGCTACACAACTGTAAAATATATGCAGTGGACCTAGGTCAGACTCATGCAAGTTCCCTCATTGTCCGCTCAGTCTCGGTGGACCCCTATGAGCCCAAGTTAGTTGATCTGTGGGTTTTCATGTGGTGTCCTTGACCCCTCTGGATTCTCCAATCCTTCCTTCTCCTCTTCTGTAGGACTCTCCAAGCTTCACCTATGAGTATAGCAGAGTATCGTTAGGAATCTCTATCCTCATCCCTGGGCTACCTAGCCTCTGAGTCCCGGCCCTGCAGGCAGTATCAGGAGTGGCCGCCCTCTTGTAGCATGGGTCTCAAGCTAGGCCAGTCATTGGTTGGTCACTCTCACAATGTCTGCACCACCTTTACCCCACCACACCTTGTTGACAAATTGTAGGTCAAAGGTTTTATGGTTCGGTTGGTGTCCCAGTCTCTACACCAGAAGTCTTGCCTGGTTACAGGACATGGCTAGTTCAGGCTCCGTGTCTCCCATTGCCGGGAGTCCGATGGCTCAGCTGTTAAAGGCTAGGTTCAGCAACCACAATATACCACATTTTCTTAATCCACGAATCCACCAATGGACATTGATTGCTGATTCCACATCACCAACCAAAAGGTGGCGCCACAGAGCCTCTGGATAGTGTGGGATGGGAAGGGCTTGCTCCTTCGCAGGCTCTCCGTGGCAGGCCTGTAGAAAGCAGGAACCTCATGAACTCAGCCACATTAGAGTCCTTGAATGGTCGTGACATTTTCTCAGTCCAGAAATCCTCGAAGCGAGCTCGTCACCATCTACCTGGAGCAGCTCTATAGTTTAGCTGTTACATTTTTCTCCGTGGTGAATATTGAGTTAATTTGTGTGTGTCATTTGGGGTAGGAGTGCAGTTCGTCTTTTGCTTGTGCCTGTTTAGTTATCCCAGCGCCAGGGGCTGTAAAGGACTGAGTGCTCACACCTCCATTTCTGGATGCTCGCGTCCATCCCATTCATGCATACGTTTGCCTCCACTGCGGACTGTGCAGTTTTGTGGGGTTTGAAATTGAGCCATGATTCTCGCAGCACTGCTGTTTTTCTTCCAGATTATTGCTGAGACTCTTTGAGTTCCCCTTGCCAGTGTCCAGGATTTGCGTGAGAACTCCACTAACCCTGTAGATGAACGTGGAGAGGCCAGATGACTTTGAGTCTTTCTGAATAGAGGATATCTTTCTCTTTCTTAGGTCGTTACTTCTTTTAAACAGTGCTTTATAGTTGTTTTCTCATGAGCTATATGCCTGATTAATTTTTTTAGATTTATTTTTGTGCCTGTGTGTATATGCCACATGTGTGTAGGTGCCCACAGATGCCGGGATAGGGTGTTGGATCCTCTAGAGCTGGAGTCGCAGGTGGATTTTAAGCTGCCCAACATGGGTGCTGGGAATCAAACCCCCAGCCTTTGCAAGAGGAACATGTGCTTTTAACTGCTGAGCCATCTTTCCAGACCCTTACATTTTTTTAAAGATGACATTCTGACTGGAATTGTCTGTTAGCTCTAAAAGGTTGTTTTTGGTGACACTCTTAGGCTTTTCTGTGTGTGGTCACGTTGTCTGCAAAGAGTTTCACAGATGCTTTCTGATCTGGATACTTTAACTATTTTTTAGCCTAACTTTTCTGGTTAGAGCCTCTGCTAAAATGATGAACTGATGTGGGAAGAACAGACATCATTAATTTTCCTCCTATGTTGGGGGATGAAGCATTCCATCTTTTGATATTAATGTTACAAATGGGGCTTTACTAGATTACTATAGTCGGATCGTAGGAATTTCTTCCAGCTGTAGATTTGTAACAGTTTTTTTAAGGACGAGAGGGTTTTTTTCTTCATCTTTCTGCAGCTTTTGTGATTATCTTTTATGATGTGAATATAGTGTATGAATTCATTTTAAGAAATTGTTACATTTGATTTTGTGAATATGATTTTGGCACACACATGGAGGTCAGGGGACAACTTGTGTGAGCTGGTTCTCTCCATCTGCCAGGTGAGCCCCAGGGATCAAACTCAGGTCTTCAGGCTTGGTGGCAAACACCTTTACCCACTGAGCAATTTTGCTGGTCCATGAATTGATTTTCCGATATTAAAGAAAGCTCGTTTCGTGGGGGAGAAATCCCTTTTTGTCTGGAAGGGTGTGTGGAAGATTGTTACTAATACTTCTGTAAATGTTTGCTATAATTCATCAGTGAAGCTGTGTGGGCTTGTGCTTCACTTCTGGAATGAAGTTTTGTTTGGTTCTGGGTCTGGCATGCTCTATATACACACTCTGTAGCTGAGCTATACCCTCAGCTGTAGAACTGCTTAGATTACTTTTGTTTTTATACATTCGGCTTTTTACTGAACACATCAACAAAAGAGGTGTAGTCAAAAAGACCAAAGCCCATATTGTCCTCCGACTCCTCAGATTCTTCCATCTTCGCTTCCACTTCCTTTTCCTCAGCTGGGGCAGCAGCAGTGGAGGAGGCAGGACCCCCGGCTGGTGCCACTTCAGCACTGGATCAGGACAAGCAGGCCCTGCCTTGCTGATGAGGTTCCCAATGTTGACAGTAGCCAAGGCTTTTGCACATAAGCCAGGCCAGAAAAGATCTTTAATGAAGGCATTGATCTGATCCTCTGTGACTGGGCACCTTGTTGTAGAGGGCAAGGGTCAAGCAGAGGCAGCTGATTTGGTTCAGACCTACGATTTGGTGAGTACTTCGGGTGCCATGCTAGCCCTCAGATGCTATGAGGGCCTCACCACAAGGCAGCCTTAGCAGCCTAGGAAGGGTCAAGAACTCTGGCAGCAGTTGGGGAAAGGGGATTCATTGCTATTAATTCAGTCTGTTCACCTAGAATGGACTTACTTCAAATATTTATTTCCTTACGAGACAGGTTTGACAGTTTGTGTTTCTCTAGCTATTTACCTATTTTGTCTCCATAGAGACGGTGAGAATGAACACCCTCTTTTAGTTCTGATATTTGTAATTTTGCCAGAGGATCTTTCCAATTTGTTTTTGAAACAACTGATTTGGTTGATTTTCCTGCTGTGTTCTGTTCCTCTTTACTAACGTCCACTCTGTTGAATTCTTCCTTCTGCCCACCCTGGGTTTGATCTGCTCTACTTTCTCTATCTGGAGCATGGAAGGCAGAGATGGTTGGTTGTAGTTTTCTTCATTTCTAGTATGGCTGCATAAACTTAGCTACAAACCTGCTTCTATATCATTGTTTACTTGATTCATCCATAGCTCGTTCTTTTCTATTTATCACTCTCCCACTGAAGATGTAACATTTTGCTCACATTATTAAACAATGAATGTTGACTTTGCCCATTGAGGAACTTCATCTGAATGAAATCATGGCATACATTTCTAAATGTGGTTTCTTCTTCTTAGAGTCATGTGTGGATTATTGTTACATGTCTTTGCAAGTTGTTTAAATTGTTTATTTTTCTTGCTGAATTCTATCATGATACCTTAATATGATACTGTGCAATTTACCTATAAAACCTATAGAGCTATAATTTATTATTTCATTGTTGACCATTTGAGCTTTCTAGTTCAGTGCTAATGTAAATAATGCTGTTGGACATTCTCGAAGAATATATGCAAATCCCTGTCTAGTGTTGAGACTAGAATGGTAGTGGGAGATGGGGCCCATGTGTATTTTCTGTTTTTCCAGCCAATGCCACAGTTTTTCAGTGTGACTGAATCGCGTTCTTGTCCATAGTAACTTATCAGACTTTCCATTGCCACCACCCCCAGACCAATGCTTGATATTCTCAGGTGTTTAATCTTACTTCATCTGGTGGGCACAGCCATATCTTGCTATGACTTTAGTTTTCATTTCCACAACTATGAGAGATGCTTGGTTCCCTTTAAACATTTATTGACAATTTGAATATTCTCTTGTGTGAAATGTTCGTCCAAACGTTTTGGCTTATTTTTCTTGTAATCATGAATTTGTGGAAATTCTTAGAAGCTCTGCAGAGAATTCTTTTGTCATTTACACAAATAAATGGGTCGTCTTTACTTTTTATCTTTTTACTCTCTTACGGTGTTTTGGAATGAATATTTTCATATAATCATATAATTAAATATTGATAATTTGATAGTTTTCTTTTGAAGTAGTTTTTTCTGTTGTTGCTATTGTTTTTATTTTGGTGTGTGTGTGTGTGTGTTATAGTCTGTCTCATGTAGTTTAGCTAATATTTAAGCAGGGCTTTTCATAGCATCCTTTTATTGTTCCTCTAATGATCACAGGGGTCTGTAGTGTTGTCTTTTTTATTTCTGATATTGGTTCAAATGGTTCTTGGGTCAGTTTAAGATTACGATGGGTCAGCAGTTTGTCTTTTTTTTTTTATCTTTCAGTGCTCCAAATTTTGTTAGGAGATCTTGTCTATTTCCCCTTCCCCGGGGATCTATATATGTTTCTCTTAGGGCTCACCTTGTTACTTAGCTTTTCGTGGATTGTGGACTATAGGCTTGTTATCTTTTGCTTTACAGCTAGTATTCCACCTATAAGTGAGTACATACCATGTTTATCTTTCTGGACTGGGTTACTTCACTCAGAATGTTTTTTTTTTTTCTTTTCTAGTTCCATCCATTTGCCTGCAAATCTCAAGATGTCATTGCTTTTAACTGCTGAGTAGTACTTCAATATTTAAATGTGTCACATTTTCTTTATCCATTCTTCAGGTGAAGAGCATCGAGATTCTTTCCAGGCTCTAGCTATTACAAATAATGCTCTATCCAGCTTTTCTTAACTTAAATTAATCAGACTACCTTTAGCCTCTGGGATTTCTTCTTTTCTTCTGTATGTCTTACTTTCACTCTTACTCCATGGCTGGGTAGCTGGCCCCAGTGTCCTCCTCTCCTTGTTCTCTCTTGCTCTTTCCTCTTCTTCCAAGATTTCTCCTCCAATTTATTCTCTCTGCCAGTCACCCCTGCCTATCCTTTTTTCTGCCTTGCTTTGGCTGTTCAGCTCTTTATTAGACCATCAGGTGTTTTCGACAGGCAAAGAATCACAGCTTCACAGAGTTAAACAAATGAAACAGAAAAGAATGCAACACGCCTTTGCTTTTTTGTTGTTGTTATTGTTTCAAGACAGGGTTTATCTGCAGCTTTTGGAGCCTGTCCTGGAACTAGCTCTTGTAGACCAGACTTGCCTTAAACTCACAGAGATCCACCTGGCTCTGCCTCCTGGGTGCTGGGATTAAAGGCGTGTGCCACCACGGCAAAGCTTTTTTGTTTTGTTTTGTTTTGTTTTTGCAACACATCTTTGCATTATTAAAACAAATGTTTCACAATATAAACAAATATAACACACCTTAAAATAATATTCCACAACATTTCCCACTTTTTGTCTAAATAAAAAGGTCTTAACTTTAACATAGTAAAGGTATACACAACAAAAACAATTGTCAAGTAAGAATTATATTTATGATATTCTGCCCATTTGTAGTTAGCATATTCACAGAAAATAATGTTTTGCCTATCCTACCTTAGTGAACCCAAAGTTTTACACCTAATTTACTTTCTATCATAACTAAGGAAAGCTCCAACTATATCTAGTCTTCAACTCCATCCAAGACCCAGAGGGAAGCAATATTATCTAAGTAAACAGGAAGTGCATTACAAGCAACTTCCAAGACTCTAGAAATGACAGAGACATCTGGCTGCTGGGACAATCATCCAAAGTTCCTCTGCAACATTGGGGCATCTATCTTAAACCTACAGGCCTAGAGTATCTGGCAGTCTTTTCAGTGAAGCAGGAGATCTGAAGAACTGTCCTGCCTTGTATTAGCAACATCATCAGTCACTTTCCTCTGTGTCTTGTAGAATGTCTGGAAGACTCTTTCATGAAACAGGAACTCTGAAGGACCATCCCACTTGCTTTGGCAAGGTTCAGCAGTCATTTTTCTGTGACTTGTCCAGTCTGTACAGCACACTGTCAGCAGTCAAGGTGAAACAGTTTCTTGCCCAAATGGCTATCCTTGCCACAATGAAAGCAAACTCCTATGGAGTTTCTTCAATGTCCATCATTCTTTTATGAAGTAAATTGGTGCTGCTAGGGGCAGATGTATCTCATTGTCATGAAAAGTTCTGAGTTAACAAAATATGTCATAGTCTATAGATCTTTGACGTGTTTGAAGATCATTTATCTATCTAAAATATATCTCAGTATGATCTAGAAAACATGCTTTACATATCTTCAAATTTGACTGTTATAAATGACTAATTGCTAACCTATGTTTCTTGATTATCCTAAATAGTTTATAATAATAGCTTTCAAAAGCTAGAAATTTACCTTACATTTTCAAATGATCTGTATAGGTACAATACCTTAAGCAAGCGTAGAAACATATATACAGTGTGTGTTAACAAAAATGACCCTAAATTTGTATCACTATGTAAAAGTCCATACCAATATAAAATATTTGAGATTAATAGTTGTTTTTAAAATATATTCAATAATCTACCCTTTTATCGTATCATTCCTATATTTCCATATTCCCCTAAATATAACAAACATCTATAACCCACCAAATAGCCAAAAGCCTCCCACATCCCTCTAAGGAATGTAGGTATCATGTTTTTAAAACTGTTTCCTGCAGTCTGTGGATGAAGTATCTTTAGAGTTCCTGAGAAAATTTGAGATAATGATCAAGTCCAGGAAAGAGCAGCAGTAGCCTTTCTTGATATATATCACCTGCCAAGTTTCAGGAAGTCTCCTTTGATCATATTAATATATGATCATATTAACCTGGAATATTCCTGGAATATTCCAGGTTAATATGATCAAAAGGAGATACAACAATAAGCAGAGAGCTCATTAGTACTATGAGGTTTTATGAGTGCTGCCTTAGTTGGTTTATATCATGTGGTCATCTTAATCAAGACGGTGGTGAAGTTACCTGGCACGCACTCTCTTTAGCCTTAATAAAGATGGCTGCCAGCCACATGGTTGCTTTCGTCTTGGTGAGGTCATTAGCCAAGATGAAGACAAGCTGCAATTTTGCTATTTAAAAACATCTATTTTACTAAAAGAAATGTGGATCACTTATATAGTATGCTGTAGCAAATTAAGATTACCTGTGTGCAGATTTTTTTTAATCATTAGCCTTTTGTTACAAGATTTAAGCTAGTTTTTTTGTTACAAATATTATAGATTTTTTTTCAAGGATTTATTTACTTATTATAATACAGTGTTCTGTCTGCATGTTTGCCTCCATGCCAGAAAAGGGCACCAGAGCTCATTATAGACGGTTGTGAGTCACCATATGATTGCTGGGAATTGAACTCAGGACCTCTGGAAGACCTGTCAGTGTTCTTAATCCCAGATATTATAGATTTTCAACCATACCTAATGGACTTACAAATCATGAGATAGAGTTTTCAGCATATTCTTAAGAGACTTTTTTGAGAGCAAAGAGCAAATAAATCATAAAGATTTTCAAGAAATATAGAAGAAAGAAGTATAGAAGAAAAAGCTTTAGATAAGAGACTTTTGAGAGTGTAGAGTCAAGAAAGTTTAGACAGAAGAGATTTGAGGAATATTTGTGTGGTGGTGGAAATTGTTACAATCTGCAAAAATTGAAAATTGAGTGTGCCACATTTTACCTGTTGAGCTGTAGTAAAACCAAGTCACTTGGAGAAAGACAGCAAAGCTTTGATGCAATCTCTGAGTCAGAGGAGGAAAAAAGAATAGAACAAGGTAAGATAAGGTGGGAAGGTCACAAAAGCAATCTACACATGGGAGGAACCCAATATTATAGAGTTCCAGGAAGGCATAAGGAAACAGCAGGACTTAAGCAGAAGGCTCCAGCGACAGAGGGCTAACGGCAAGGACACAGACACGGGCAGCTCCTAAGTGGAGGTGAGAAAGTTCCAGAAGGGAGCTGAGAACATGTGGTAAGGGACAAAAGGGTGGGAGAGAGAAGGGTAAGTGTCCTGGTAACAAGAATTAGGGGAGAGGTCTCGGTAAAAAGAACTGAAGAGGAGAAGCTGGTACTTAGGATACTGAGTGAGGCCAGCAAGGGTTTGGTATGAAAATAGGCACCATAGATAGCCATTTACCTCTTCTGACAATGATAAGGAAATGGCTCCTTTGGAAGAGGGGCATGGGTGCCAAATTTTGGGGGAGTTTCCTTTGGATCTGACAATAGGCAGTCAATGATTTCTGGGGAATGGGAAGTCATATTTCTCAGCCTTTGCTCAAGTAAATACCCCCTATCCAAGTTCACAATATAATTGTCCCCTCAAAACAAAAAAGATACAAGTGTAGGGGAGGGACTTGGGGAGAAGGAAAGGTTTGATGGTGGTGGGGTAATGGATAAGAGAGGATGATGGAACTGGGGGCGGTGATCACACACATTATAAAATTATGAATGCATAAATTTAGAAAGAAATCATGAATAGCAACATGGACCTATAAAACTGACAATCCTTTCCCTTCCATTCCCTTTTCTAAGTACAGCCCTGGAGGATTTCTTGGTTTATGAGAGGTGCCTTCAATATGGCCTCCTGTTCTACCGGGCACAGCTTCACTGATATTCTTATCCCTATTTCTCCCTCAACCTTCAGCCCTGAGCTAGAAGCCATGACCATTGTCCTCTCGAGCAGCGGTTCTCAACCCTTCCTTCTGCGACAACTCTGTAATACAGTTCTTCATGTTGTGGTGACCCCCCCCCAGCATAAATTTATTTCCATGGCTAGTTCATACTATAATTTTGTTACTGTTATGAATTGTAATGCAACCACTGCTTTCTATCTGATGGTCTTAGACAATCCCGGTGAAAGGGTCATTTGGTCCCAAAGGGGTTGCAACCCGTAGTCTGAGAAACATTGCTCTAGAGTGAGTCTCATGATGGCAACAGCATCACAGCATGGGTGAAGTCTTACCCCAAGAGAACTCTCCTGCTTATGTTATTGTGAGGTCTACATTGTTACTAGTTTTGGAGACTGTATCTCACTCTGTAGTCCAGGCTATCCTGGAACTTGATATGTATATGACTGGCTTGGAACTCCTGATTACTCTGCCTTGGCCTCCTAAGTGCTGAGACTATAGGTGTGTGCCACTGTACCCAGCATGGCTCTAGATTTTGAGTTTCAAAGTAAATTCTCGAAGTATCACTCGTGGTGCTATGTCTTACCTCCTTCCGTGAGACAGAATGTCACTATGTAGCCGAGGCAGGTCTTGAACACATAATCTTCCTGCCTCAGCCTTCCCAGTTACTGGGATGACAGATGTGAACCCACCACATCTAACTTGCTACAGATCATGGAAGTAGTAGATCAGTAACATTGTCTTTGTTGAAATAAGCACTTTACTTTGTGGTACTCTTTTTTCAAAATATTTGCATGATTTACCTTATTCTTTATACATAGAAATACTGATTTTAAAAAAGTGGTTGATGTGTATTAATCACTAATACAACCAGTGCATCCAGCTTTTTTGTTTGTTTCTGAGACAGGGTCTTGCTTTGTAGCCCAGGCTGGTCGTGAATGCGCAGCAATCTCCCTGTGCCTGCCTCCTAACCTCCTTCCCAGCACCCTGACATGCTGTGCCTCTTGCAGGGTATTAGGGATGTTTTCACTTTTATCCTGACGCCACTCATAGGCAAATAGGGCACTTTGGGCTCCTTGGTCTTGTGATTCTTATTCAGAGAGATGACAAGAATTCAAAGGGGTTCATGTTTCAAATAACTGTCAACATTCCATGGTGAGTCTCCCATCAGGCTCAGCGGCAGGGATGTCATCCATCCTTATCCTTTTCCACACAAGCAAAGGTCTCTTTTAAGTTTGAGCCATCTGCGCTCGGCACTTTCCAATCTCCTCTTGGATTGTAGTCTGAGGACCGCTCACATGGACGGATCCCGAGGTGGGTGCTAATACCCCCGGGCTCAGCTTCCCCTTGTCGTTATCCTGATACACAGCAGCTGAGGTGACCCCTCTGCTGTCCAGGTCCTGTTCTAAGGTGACTGGAAGGCTTCAGCTGAGACCTACAACCACTGCTGCTGTCACGTGACTTCTCTCAGTCAGGGTGTGACTGGATAGGTAGAGCTGTGGCTGCAACTTCTCCTCAGGGTCTTGCTTATCAGGTACCAGGGTATGTGGTGCATCCTTGACTCCGTGGACATCTGCTCCACCTTGTCTGAGCCGTCCCTGCAGGGAGAGGGACAGCAGTCAGGAGGCTTCAGACTGGGCCAGGCATGGTGGTACCCTCACAGAGCAATCTCTACCCATCCGATGTGACATCTACACGGAGCCATGGCTCCCATCCAGGCTTGCAGCAGAGCCCAGGGCTGGGATCCTATGAGCCTCCATCCACAGTCCGAGGTGCACACCGCCTCAACAGCTACTGCCCCCTAAAGGCTTCTTTTCAAATACTTAGAGTAAAACTAAATGCTGAAAAACATACATTAGAACATGTAGCTGTAGGTGTTGGTGCCCATGGCAGGAACACCTGTAAACCCAGAACTTGGGAGGTAGAAGCAGGAGAGTCAGTCATTGCCTATATAATGAGTTTGAGATCAAAATGGGTTCCAGGAGACCCTGTCTCAAAAACAGGCTTGTACGTTGGAGCTCCATTATTTTTCTGCTTTGTGTTTTCTCCAATGTGGTTGCATGTGAAGCTAGAAAGAGCTGCAGTTCATTGCACCTGCTTTCTTCAGTGGGGGACACAGCTGGGACCCTAACACAGTGGTCTTGGGATCCATCCAGCCACGCAATCCAAAGAGCACAGCATCTGAAGACGGCTTTCCCCACTGAGGCGTGGCGCCTGTGCTCGCTTTTAAGTGGGTGTTAGCTGTTTACACTGTAAAGTGATTCACAAGTTTTGGAATGGATTCCTTCCTACCATATTCGCTTAAAACATTTATTGGGAATAAGCCAACATGTGCTGTAAACAGAACTGGGAGGTGCGGAGGACAGAAGTGGCCGTGGTTGCGCGCGGTAAGATGGGTATCTGTCCCAGAGCTGTGCCTTCCTCTGTAGAGAACTGGGGATAGCTTGAGCCCTTCACCCTGCCACGTTCCCCACCCCATCCCCCACCCCCTATTTTTTTTTTCCTTCTGGTTTCAGACATTTACAGACTGAAAATGAAACCATCCCCGCAGACCCTTGAGCTCATTTTGAAAGGCAACATGAGGGGAGGAGAGAATTTTTTGAGTCAGTTTAAGTTTGGAGTAAAAGCTACAAGTAAACCACATGCACCCAGATTTCTTGGCACCACAGATAAGGGAAAAGGTGCATTTTGAAAAAAACCTCCCCGCCACAGAACTTCAGCTTTGTTAGGATTCAAAGTCCCCAGTGGAGAGAGCCTGTTCAGAAACTGGGCTGCAGTCAAACCTGGTGTTTCAATTCCTCAATGGCTGCTAAAGTTTTCTGTAAATCATTCAAACTTAATGCCTGAGAAGGTTAACTTGTTAAATAGCTAACCGATGAAGACAGCATGGGACAGAGGGTGAGCTAAGTGGTGGAAGAGAAAAATTCAAGACAGGGACTTTCAAAGAGGACACATATAAACCGAGCAGGTAGGGTACCGGGTGCACTTTTGGCATCCTGCGGGGTGGGGTTGTCTGGAATAGTCAGTGATGGATCCAGGAGGCTTGGCCAAGGAGGGGCAGCTTCCAGCTGAACCTACAGGCAGATGCAATCCTGAGGACCTGAATACCATCTGAGGCTGAGGGATGCCCAGCTTAAAAGAGAAAGCGGGGAAGGCTGAGCCAGAGACCCAGGCTTTTAAAGGAGGTGGGGGTGGGGAGAGGAAACACTAACGGAAAAAGTGACTTTGGGGAAGCAGTCTCTCTCCAGGCAGTTTAATGCCTTTTTCACTTTCCTGGCAGGAGAAAAAAAAAAAGCCGCAGAAGAAGAAGGAACCCCCGGCAATTGCTTTGGAATACCCAGGAGCTGGCAGGCGATGGACAGGCAAGTGAGAGAGGACTCAGCTCTGTAAGAAAGCATATGCGCCTGGCTTTAAAGGGTGGAGAAAGGCACTATTGTAGGGGGGCACTGAGCGTGAGCTGAGGGAGAGCAACTTTTAAGCTATCAGTTCTGAATGTTTATCCTTTCAAACCCAGCACCACTAATGCTCCTCATAATGTCGGCTCTCCCTCGCAGGAAACAGACAGCTGAGACGCTGCTGTCTCTGTCGCCGGCTGAAACTGCCAACCTCAAGGAAGGAATCAACTTTTTTAGGAATAAGACTACTGGCAAAGATTATATCATTTACAAGGAGAAGGGCCACCTCAAGGCATGCAAGAACCTCTGCAAGCACCAGGGAGGCCTGTTCATCAAAGACATTGAGGATTTAGATGCAAGGTACACGGGTCCTTTGCTCTCTTGCCAGGGGCCCTGTTTGCTTATCTAAATATTTTAAACGACATGATCAGCAAATTGCTTCTAGTAAACTTTCCTCTTGTTTCATTGGGATGGTTTCCAGACTTCAAAATGTTATGTTTTGCTTAGATTTACTTTCTCTTTTCTCTAAGAACTCTAAAATTAGCTTGACAATCCTAGTCATGGTAGCCTACTTCTAGAGTACATGTACTTGTATGGAAATGTTTGGGTTGCAGGGGTGAACACACACACACACATACACACACATGAGAGAGAGAGAGAGAGAGAGAGAGAGAGAGAGAGAGAGAGAGAGAGAGAGAGAGAGAGAATTCCCGGGCATCTGTTTCATCAGTTGCTTTATGGATACCAAATCCTTTCAAACAATGGTTCTCAACTTGTGGATCACGACACCTTGGGATCAAACAACCCTTTCATAGGAGTTGCCTGAGACTATCAGAAAACACAAATGTTTATATTACAATTCATAACAGTAGCAAAATTACAGTTATGAAGTAGTAAGAAAATGATTTTGTAGGTGGGGGTCACCACACTGCATAAAGTGTTGCAGCCTTGGGAAGGCTGAGAACCATTGCTCAGAGTCCCCTGCGGCCTGTCCTGGGCTGTGTGGGCTAAGTCCCTGGGGGTTGGGCCTTTTCCCTTCTTTGTGTCATGGATCTTATTTCTCTGCTCACGTGTGGATAGTTCGGTACTGGAGGGATGTTGCAGGAGGAGGGCCCGCTTGTCCATCCCAGCCGCCCAGCTAGATTACACCCAAAATAATCATACAGAAACTGTATTAATTAAATCACTGCTTGGCCTATTAGCTCTAGCTTCTTATTGGCTAACTCTTATATTAATTCAACCATATCTATTAATCTGTATATTGCCACGTGACAGTGGCTTACTGGTAAAGATTCTTACCGGCATCTGTCTCAAGCAAGGATTTATGGCTTCTCTCTGACTCCACTTCCTTTCTCCCAGCATGCCATTCAGTTTTTCCCGCCTACCTAAGTTCTGCCCTATCAACAGGCCAAGGAAGTTTCTTTATTCATTAACCACTGAAAGCAACACATTGACAGAAGGACCTCCTACACCAGAGGGAGCTGAGGAGTTGTCCAAGAATCCCCCTATCGTTGTGCAGAGGACAATTTCCAAATCTAGAACGTTATCACGTCTACCCATAGAGTTGTATGATTACACACACAGTTTCACAGTCCATGTTATTACATGTACATGTTACTAGACTTTCCAGTGCTAACCTCTGGGGCATCCAGAGTCAGAAAGTGCAGGTCATATTCCAGATGAACTGTTTATTGTCTTTCTTCTGAGGGACTCTCATCTCCTTCATCTCTGGTACATTTGTGCAGAACTCGGGGTGGATAAAGATTTTTTTTTTTCTCTTGCTGATCGTCACTGGGTGGCTCTGAGTTTCCTGCCTTCTTACATGTAGCTAACCACATAGAGTAGTGCTAAACCTAAGTGCTACAGTGTGAGCTCTCCTCCCTGCCTGCCTCACCACTCACCAGCTCCGGAATCAGCTTGAACAGGTTCATAACCTTCCTCAGCCTCAGTCTGCTCATTTGGAAAATGAAAACACCACCTACTCTGCCAGGTTGCAGCGAGGGTAAAATGCTTGCTGTTGAAGCCTGAGGACCTGTGTTCAAATCCGTAGCGTTTTTGTGTAAAAAGCCAGGCACTGTGGCGTGTGCCTGCGATCCCAACCTCTGGGGAGGCAGAGAGAGGAGGATCCCTGGGGCTTCCTAGCCAGCCAGTCTAGTTTAATCAGTGAGGTTCAGGGAGAGACCCTGTCTCTAAAACAGTAAGTGGAAACAATGAAGAAGGAGCGACTGCATGTGGCAGACACGTGTTATGAAAGAAGATATGAAGCGGATTGGTGTTCTAGTTCCTGTTATGGATGTTTTGGTTTGGGTAGTGGATAAATGCATGAGTATATTCAGTACTAAAAGTGTAAAACTGAAGTTTCACATTTATTCTGAGTGTCAACTCTAACATATATATGTTCATTAAGTTGTACAGACTTTGGGTGTAGATAATTTTGGTGTGTGACATTTTTACTTATTTGCAATATTTTTTTAAAATAAAGGCTTATTAAAATTAATTTCAAAAAGTAAATGGAAAAGAAATTGAGAAAGACTTCTGGTAGTGACCTTTGACTTGTACACATGCACATACACACTCGCACACATAGAATCACTCACTCAAAATCTACAGAAAGGGTTTAAAAGACCATCACCTGGAGTATATGATAAACAGCCAATAAATGTTCACCACTGTTAGTATTCCCGTGATCTTCTGTATACACAGATTATTGGGAAAAAAAAAACTGTTGTTTTTGCAATCAGTTTGCTCACCTAAATATAGTGAGCTCCTCACCACAGATCAGCCGTTCTTGCCTCATGCAAAATCGTAAGGTGGTTGATCTTAGTTTCACTTTATCAGCAGCTTAGCCCTGTTTTATGTGAATATGTATACACACGTGTGTGTGTGTGCATGCATACGTATGTGTGTGCGTGTGTGTGTGTGTGTGTGTGTGTATGTGTTTGTGTAGGAGGGCAGATGTTGACAGGTTTCTTCCTGAATCACACTCCACGTGATCTTTTGAGGGTCTATCACTGAACCTGGACCTCGCCTCGCCAATCAGGTTATATCAGGCTAGGAAGCCCTAGGGGTCCTCCTGTCCCTGCCTTCCCAGTGTTGGCTATAGGTGCACGCTGTCATCCCTAGCTTTTTACAGGAGTACAGGGTTTAGACTCAAGTTCTCCTGCTTGTGTGACAAGTCCTTCACCCACTGAGCCATTCCCTAGCCTGCTTTCTGTGCAGCCTTCACAGGGAAGTTGGGCTCTCTTCACGGTAGCCTCTGTGGAGCGCGTTGCTCAGTAGCTAAACTGCATGCCGGTGATGGCTCCTACTTGTCTCTACTTTCCATTCTTGTGCTTGATCCCGCTGTGCAGTTACCAATCCTAGGAAAGCATCTTTTCCAGGCTACAGTCAAGCATAGTCTGTTCCTACCTGCCGTTCAGTCAGTTCTCTTCCTGACACATAACTAAAATCAGCAGATCTTAGGTGCTATACACTTCATGTCCTTAAGTCTAACATGCTCTCATAGCTTCTCTGTGTGTAGTGGGCTCTTCTTCATGCCCACTCCTGTCCCCTTCTACCTCTCTCTTGCCCCCTTCTATCCCTTTCCCACTCCCTTCTATATCCCCCCATCTTCTCTTGTCCCACTCCTGCTCACCCCAATCAGACTGAAACCCAACTACACTTAGTTCTGCCAACTTTCCCTCTTGGGTTCTTTAGTCCCATCTGGGATGTCTCATCCTAATTTTTAGAGGTTGTTGTCCAAGCGTGCCTAAGAACGGAAGGGCCACAAAGTTCTGGATATAATCAAGCTTGGAAATGTCGGCTTGATATGCTTACAAGTTAGAATTAGGGACTGGAGAGATGACTCAGAGGTTAAAAGCATTGATTTCTCTTCCAGAGGTCCTGAGTTCAATTCCCAGCATCTACATGGTGGCTCACAACCCTCTCTAGCTGTATCTAATGCCCTCTTTTGGTGTAAAGGCATACATGAAAATATAACACTCGTACATAAAATAAATAAATCTTAAAAAAAACAAGAATAAGTTAAAATAGATGCTTTTGATTTTTTCAAAAAATGATGTTTCTGGTCGGAGACATTTCTTGATTAAAAAAATCGTTGCTTCTTGAATTTCAGTAGGAGTTTATGAAGCTAAGGAAAGAAACATTTTTGCCCCCTACTTCTGACTGAGCTCTCCCCTGGTCTGCCAAGCTTTATTTTCTGGGGAGATAAAAGGGAACTGGATATGGTAGCTCATGCTTGTGATTCCAGTATTAGGGAGACTGAGATGGTGAATTTCTATTTGTTTGGCACCAGTTTGGGCTATACAATAAAATCGGACTGAAAAACAAAACAAAAAACAAAAGCAAAATAAAACTGAGCCAGCCAGGTACAGTGAGCTCCGCAGGGTGGAACACTTAGGAGGAGGCAGAGAGAACAGGAGCTCATGGTCACCCTCAGCTGCACAGTAAATAAAGGTCACGGCTAGCCTAGTCTCCATGAGGTCCTGTCTCAAAAAAGTTGATGGGAGAAAGAAAATAAGGAAGGAAAGAAGGAAGTTAGTTCAAGGGGACAGCAAAAGGGTCACAGCACCTCCTCTAAAAGGTCTCCTGCTTGCTATAATCTGAGTCTTATTCTGAAATGGAATTAAATTAGTAAATAGAAATGTAGAACACTCACCCAAATAACTGGTGATAAAAACAAATTTTAGTATATGTTATAAATATAATGGGAGACACGCATTTGAAAACACACTCACTTTTAGCATGTGTGGTGGCACACACCTTTAATCCCAGCACTTGGGAGACAGGGGCAGGTGGATCTCTGTGAGTTTGAGGCCAACCTGGTTTACAAAGAGAGTTTCTGGACCCCCAGAGTTATACAGAGAAACTGTCTTGAAAAAAATCAAAGAAAGGAAAAAAGAAAAGAAAATATACTCACTTTTGTAGGCAGAGACTGCTTGTTCATTTCCCGACTGGTCAGACCCAAATAATCACACAGAAACTACATTAATTACAAGACTTTTCAGCCTATTAGCTCAGGCTTCTTATTAACTAACTCTTACATCTTAAATTAACCCATTCCTATTATTTTGCATATTACCACGAGGCTCATGGTTTGCTAGTAAGGTTCTGGAGTGTCTGTCTCCTTTGACAACTACATGGCATCTCTTTGACTCTGCCTACTCTCTTTATATATTTCTGTTCAGATTTCCCACTTGGCTATATTCTGCCCTGCCATAGGCCCAAAGCAGCTTCTTTATTAACCAATGGCAATAAAACATATTCACAGCATACAGAGGAGAATTTCACATCACACTTTGTCTGAAACTCATTTATCTGAGTATATTGTATCTGATCTAGTAATCACACTCTCAAACCTTAAATTCTAGGGAAATCTTTTGGAGATTTTAAGCTAGTTGGACACTGAAGGTGAAGGGTTGCTGATAGATAAGTCAAACATATGTAAGACCATGTTCTCTCTGAACCTCACTTCACTGTTATGAGAATGGACTCTTGACAGTTTGTGGCCAAGGGCTGTCTGCAGGAGCATGAGCTCCTATCATCACCTTGCTTATCTGGGCACAGCCATCGCTTCACCACTGCCCAGCCTTCCCTTCTTTCCCTAGAGCCTGTGTATGATGACCATCACTCCAGGCTGTCCCTCTGCACCCTGGCCAGGAGGAGGTCACTTACCCTGAAGACCATTCTGTTGTCTCTAACGCACATCACTGTGTGAACTAGACGTCATCTTTGCATTTAAGAACGTTGCTTGATGCTTAGCCAGCATTTCCTTGACTCCCGCAGTATTATCGTTTATAAATTTTCTTTCATGTGTTTTGCATTCCATCAATTGCTTTGACTTCCCTGTCATGAGTTGCCTTCCCGCTTCATCAGCACTGACTCTCCTCCCACTGTGTCCTATGGTTGACTATCATCTCCCCCACCCTCCAGGACCGTTAAATGCACAAAGCACAACTGGAAGTTAGATGTGAGCACCATGAAGTACACCAACCCTCCAGGGAGCTTCTGTCAGGACGAGCTGGGTAAACACTCACCCATACTTCCTGCCAGGGCGGGTGGGGGAGGGGAGCCTTTGGCAGCTTTGTCGTGACAGCTTCCAATCTCCAAGTTTTGCATCTGGTCTAATTTTAAATTGTTAGACCTATATGATTGATTGATAGCTTGTTTGAGACAAGGCCTTGCTTTCTCATTTATTGATCCTTTGCGTTTCATCTTTGGAGAATTTCCGGCTCCTTTCTGTAAATCCCGGTCTCTGGCCTCCATCTTTGGAGGCCCTGTCCCTGTGCACACCAAACCTTGACCCTTCCCCCGAGGAGGGGCAAGGCAGCCCACCAAAACCTTGACCACTCCCACAGTCAGTCTATTTAAACA